GAAAAAGAGAGTGGGTAAAAACCCATTGTTGATGGATGGTTGTTACAACCAAGGTATGCAGAAGAGAATCCCTGAACACACAACACATCACACCTTGAAGCAGATGGGCTACAGCAGTAGACACCGAGTGCCAGTCCTGTAAGCTGAGAACACAAATCTGAAGCAACAGCTCACATGGGCTCACCAACACTGGACAAAAATTGGAAAAACGCTGCCTGGTCGGATGAGTCTTGATTTTTGCGGGGACATGAAAAGCATGGATCCATCCTGCCTTATATCAGCAATTCAAGTTGCTGATGGTGACCTTTACTGCGTACCCATCATCTGCTGGCTGCTTCCAACAGGCTAACACACCATGTCACAAAGCTCAAATCATCTCAAAGTGGTTTCTTGTATATGACAGTCAGTTCACTGTACTCAAACTGGCTCCACAGTCACCAGATATCAATCCAATAGAGCAACTTTGGGATGTGGTGGAGCAGAGGATTCACATCTTGGATGTGCAGCTGGCAAATCTGCACCAACTACGTGATGCTATCACATCAACATGGACCAAAAGCTCTGAGAAAAGTTTCCAGCACCTTCTTGAATCTATGCCAAAAAACATTTAGACCGCTCTGAAGGCAAAAGTAGGTCCAGCCTGGTAATAGCAAGATACTAAGTAACTAATGAAGTTTACGGTGAGTGTACTCTAGTTTCCACCTCTATTGATTACAGTATTTTCAGCTCTGTCTATGTAATGTACATCAAAGTCGCATCACAACCGAGCCGATGGTGATGCAGAGTCAACTGATGTTTTCATGTTTGTAACTTTGTAAAATCTTGTTCGCGAGTGATGGGAGAAGGGAGCCGGAGATCGACAGACGGATTGGGGCTGCAGCTGCAGTAATGCAGAAGCTGCACCGGTCCGCCGTGGTGAAGAGGGAGCTGAGTGTAAAAGCGAAGCTCTCAATTTACCGGTCGATCTACGTCCCTACCCTCACCTATGGCCACGAGCTGTGGGTAGTGACCGAAAGAACGAGATCGCGGATACAAGCGGCAGAAATGAGCTTCCTCCGAAGGGTGGCTGGCCTCTCCCTTAGAGACAGGGTGAGAAGTTCGGCCATCCGGGAGGGGCTCAGAGTAGAGCAGCTGCTGCTCCACATCGAAAGGAGCCAGCTGAGGTGGTTCGGGCATCTGACAAGGATGCCCCCTGGGCGCCTCCTGGGTAAGGTGTTCCAGGCATGTCCCACCGGGAGGAGGCCCCGGGGCAGACCCAGGACACGCTGGAGAGATTATATCTCTCGGCTGGCCTGGGAACGCCTTGGTATTCCTCCGGATAAGCTGGAGGAGGTGGCTGGGGAGAGGGAGGTCTGGGCCTCTTTGCTTAGGCTGCTGCCCCCGCGACCCGGCCTCGGATAAAGCGGATGAAGATGGATGGATGGATGGATGGAACTTTGTAAAATACTGGAAAGCTAATTAACAATGATCTCATCATCATCTTGTATTATTAATGCATGCTAATAAAAATATACTCATCGTTATAGCGATGTCAGAATTTATTCAGTTCACAAAAAGCAGTTCTGGCAGAATTATTCTGGCTCTGAGTTTGATGTAGGTCTACTGCAGTGCAGAGACTCTGAGACAGAGTAAGAGCAGTGAATTTTCACCAGCCCTTCTCTTACAATGGCATGAATAACTCGCACATATTTGTGCACATATTTAAAAACAGTGTCTTATAAATTTCTATGTTGCAGCAGATCTGAATTATAGCATAATTTCACAATATCCTGTGTACCGAGCTGTATTAATACCTCTGTAAAAGTGCTGCAGCAGACCATAAAATTCCTGCTTTGAATACTACTTTATCATTACTCAGCGGTTGTATTTAAATTGGGCATGCTTGTAGCACTTCTCACATAAGACACACGCGAACAACACTCACACAGCCACTAGCTCGTGTCTCGTCACAAAGACATCGACCCGGACATGTTGATTTGCTCTGGCAGCACAAAGCCAGCGACTGGTTACTGGCGAGTTCAGCTAGCAGATTGTGGTTGCTTTTAGATTTATCTTGCCTCTCGCAGCGTCTGTGGAGCAGCAAAAAAAAGCTGCAGTCCCTTTCTTCCTGTTTTCTCAGAGCTTATTTTTAAAACTGTGTCATTAAACAGCATACAGTAGGCAGCGACAGGGGATACAGAAGACAGAGAGGGGAGAGGTCATTGGGGTACGCAGGGCGAGAATGCAGCTGAAACCACAGCAGACTTTTGTAAACTTGAGATAACAAAGAAACGAGACATCCAGGAAGTGACACTCTTCCACAACCAGACTGTCAAATGAATGAGCCTGACAGACGGAAACTCTGTGCAGCGTGACTTGCAGTTTGCTGTCTTAATCTAAAACAAATGAAGGGCGTATATGTGTGAGGAGGCGAGCACTTTTGCTCATGCCAGCATCTTTCCAGGTCTTTCTGTCTGTAATTATGCAATCCTCCACTAGTGTGTGTGTGTGTGTGTGTGTGTGTGTGTGTGTGTGTGTGTGTGTGTGTGTGTGTGTGTGTGTGTGTGTGTGTGTATGCATGCTGAACCGGCTTGGATTGGGATCTGCGGTTTGTGCAGTGGGAATTTCATTGGCAGTGAGTTTCCTGGCTGACATTGGGGAGGTATGCAGGCAGCTGTGGCATGAGGGCGGAAGAGGGCCGGGCGGCACTCCCAACCACTCTGGTTGGACAGATGGACAGACAGATGATGCGATTGACAGGTTAATTGAAGCTTAGGCTTTGACTCCCACATGCACTCACACACGCTCAGAGGTGAAGCAGTACATCACTGCAATACAAGAAAATCTCAGGCTTCTTATCTGCTCCAGGCTGCAGTGAACATATACTTTTATCTGCCTGTTTTCAATCAATCTCGCCTTTTCCATTCGCCTCTTTCTCATTCTCATGAGTACAGCACACAGTAAATGCTGGGTGGGTGGAGAGGTAAAATGGGAGTTACACTTAGTTCATGATAACTGCACCAACTCCTAATTAAGGAGAGCATGCATTTAACTGGAACACCAGCTGAGCACAAAACATGGTAAAAAGTTGCAATGCATCAGATTGCCTAAACTTACAATAATCAAGCCAAAGAAGGAACATATGTGAGAGACATGCATGTTTGTTTAAACCAGGGTAATACCCAAAAGTTTAAGCCTGTGTAAACGCTTTTGAGGAATGCCTTAGCTGTCAAAACCGACAGAAAAAAACAAACTGCACATCACTAAGGTGTAATGGCACAAATAATCATAATAAAATGAATAAATAAACAAGAAACAGCCTGTAGATGCTCCTCTTTGCAGTCACAATTCTGACTCCAAAAGCTGCCAGACAAGCTACAAAGAGAAAATTATATTTTTTAATGTAAATTCTCAAATGTTAAAAAAAAAAGACTTTTAACACTTTACATCACTCCCTGAACTCTCACTCAAAAAAAAATACACCTAATGATCCACATACACTGCAGTCTCCCAAAAAGCAGCATCCACTGAAACATGGTCCAACAGTTGGTTACGCAGTTCAGACGAGTTCAGGCAGAAGGATTTACTTCCATTTTTAAACCCTCTACTTTCTTCTTCCAATCAGCTTCATTTTATCTTCATACATATTTTATTAGTGGCTGAGCCACTGTATGGGAAATATACTTAAATATTTAATACCACCGCACTCATTAAAAGGCTGTTTAACCCAAACCAGTAAACCACTGGAGGGATTTCATCACCCCACTCTGCTGCATGGTCTTTCACAATGAGCTGTGAAAGTACATGACAGGAAGCAGGAAGTCTGTCTTCCCGAAACATCACGGCAGATGAATAAATTTTGCACACATTCAGTTAAGAAAAAACTCCCTAAAACGACTGCGCTGTAAAAACACCGGGACTGGGGAAGCCGAACGTGGCCCTCTTCTGGTGAAAAGCGCATGTGAGTGAGTAAAGTTCAAACCCTGTTATTGATACAAGCGTGCTGGAATTTGGGATTCAGACAAAGGAAGCCCTCTGCCAAAGATGACAGTCTCATCTCGGGGCTTGCGCATTTGTGAGTGTGTAATCAGGGGAGCTGGCTCTTATTGCGGTGTGCTCCTTACGCAGCAGTATATCCTGCCAAAACCACTCAAGTATGGTGTTGTATGTGATGGCGCTAAGGCACGGTTTGAAATGAGCAGTTACTGGAGCACACGCTGCAAAAGTGAAACTGTCTGAACGCGGTAATTGAACCAACTTGACGTGTTTGCAGCTTCTCCGCTTCTCGGCAGAATATTTTGTGCGAGATTTAATTGACTTAATTGGCTGCTATAAGACTTTAAACCTAATAGGAAAAACATATGCGAATAAATCAGAGCAAGAACTTCGTTAAAAAGCAAGTAGGTGGATCACACCATCAGTGAGGTCATCACGCACCCATTACAGTACGTGAAGCATGCGCTCATCCTGCCGTTACAAAGCGCTACACATGCGGTAACACAACCGTCTATTCATTCCATTTAGTTTAATTAAGTATTAGTGACTGCTTTACTGTTCATATGAATATTCAAACTATTTAGTGATCGATAAAGGCGGCTAGGCTAAATTTTAAGTCAGTAGCCAAGTTAAATGAACGAACTACAGATGCTACACGCTATGGAAGTCCATGTGTATGTTAAATAAAATGAATACAAACGCAGTCTGTGCAGACACACACGCATATAAGAGCACCGTTTTATCAAAGAACAAACAAACCGAAAACGTACTTCTTTAAACCTTCATAGCCAAACAGCACTGAAGTTTTCGCCCAAACGCATGGCTCTAACCTTCCAGTATGTGCCGTGTGCCGGTTAAGTCACACGAAAACGTTACCGCCGTGCGTAAAAGCGGTCTGGTCTGCAACACCGGCTTAGTGGCGAGTGAAGCTCCAAACGATTCTGCCACAACTTAACTACCGGCTTCAGCAGCCATGCAGGTTATCCCCTCTTGTTTTAAAGAGGAAAAAAAGTTGTTTGACTTACCGGTTTGGTGAATAAACGGAGTGAAAATCAGTGTTCAGAGACGAGCATAATCGATTGCAGGCGACTAGATTAGCAGGTGTAATTAAAAAGCTTGGCAATGGATAAAAACCACAAAGCCGGTGTTGAGGTTCCCCCTCTCTCTCTCTCTCCCCGGCTCCTCTGTGCGTGTGTGTGTGGCACATAAACACGGAGCTGGCTAACTCTGAGCTCACAGTGCGTCACTGCTGCAAGCTGAAACCCCCGTCAGTGTGTGTGTGTGCATGTAAACCCCCTCTGTTGCCGGTAGTATAGGCAACAGCCACCTGTGGCTCACAGCCTGGCAGATTCAGTTCGCAATATGGAGGCCCAGAGTGTTTAAAGCTAAATAAACACTAAACTACAGATGAATAAAAAACGTTCCATATTAAAAACTAAATTTAATATAGTCAGACAATGAAAAGAATAAGCTTAATGTTTCATTGTTTTATATTTAACTCATTTTAGAAGTTTTTCTTGTGACATTTTTGCCAAGACTTTTTTTTTTAAATACTTTAAATCTAGTCCATATTACACCGTAAAGCCAACAAGGTTTCATTTCCTAGACAACAGAGCTAGCCCAGGAAAATATTTTAATACCACATTATTATTGTAATCCTCTGGTTCTATAAATAAATTCAGGCTAAGTAATATTAAAAGGGACCTATTATGCTCATTTTCAGATTTTCTTGGATTCTCCTGGAGTCGTTTTGAATGATTCACGGTTCAAAATAGTAGCAGAGCCACTAAGTGTAAAAGTGTCTTATGAAAAGCAAATATGCTTGAAACCTTCATTTTTGTGGTGCATTAAATACATAAAACTGGAGCCCAGCAGTGACCAAGTGTTTTTGTTTCTTTTTTTACTGTCTGCATATTTTCTTCCCAGCAACTGGCCCCTCCACCCACCCCTTGATGTGCATGTGCATATATCTTTCTAGTTTTATGAAGTGAGGGCTTCAGTGCAGTGCAGGCCCTCAGCATACATAAGTGTATAATGTGTTTTAACATGACAAGGACAAGGCCTAACTTCTTGTTAGTGATCATGATTGACTTCAGCTGGTAGTTTCTCTTTTCTGTCATGAAAGTAATTTGTTTGACAGCAGTTATTGGCCTGACAAACTCTCAGAATAATGGGACAGTCCAAGAAACTCTGAAGATCTAAGAAGCAGAATTGTAGATTTACAAGTTCAGAAGGTCTCTTGGAGCCATTTCTAAACACCTGCAGATTCCAAGATTACTATTCCGAATAATCGTATTCGGATGTGTTGCCTCTTTGCCAGAATCTGGAAGAAGACCCAAACTGTCACTGTCAGATGAGAGGAAGTTGGTTAGGACTTTCAGGAAACAACCCAGGAACCTGACACCAACATCTCTTTCCACAGAGAACCCTGTTTTACCTCACCATGGACGGAGAGGGTGTCAACCAAGAAAGAAGCTACTGCTCCAAAAGTAGTACTAACTCCAAATTCTTCAACTTCTCATTTGAAAGTTGGACGCAGTTGGGGGTTCCAACAGGACATTGACCCGAAACACACATCAAAACTGGTTTTGGAGTGGTTAAAGCAGGCTAAGATTAAGCTTTTGGAGTGACCTCATTGACCTCAACCCTATTGAAAGTTTGACCACACATAAAAGCCGTGTCTTTGCCAGGTATTGAAACAATTTAAAGAATTCTGCCAAGAAGAGTGGTGAAATATCCAACCAGCATTATGCCAGAAACTTGTTGATGGCTACTAAAAGTGTCTGGTCGAGATACAACTTAGTAAAGGACATTTAACCAAATATTAGTGGGGGTGTTTTGTATATATAATATATATAATATAATTTTGACTCTGTGCTACTTAGAGAAAATCCAAAAATAAATTCAAGGAATCATTAAAAGCCCAAAATTACCACAAATTGATGCCCAGTGGGTGTAAACGTCTGATCACAACTGTATATGACAGAAATAAAGGAAAATCCTAATAAAGGTAATGTTTATTTATTTTGTTCAAGAGTTTCTCTACACCAATCAGCCACAACATTAAAAACACTTCTAGGTGAAGTGATTAACACTGATCACAATATCTATAATTCCAGGCACTCTTGGGTGTACACATACACGCTTCTTGCTTTTTTTCAAATACTGTAATACAGTATTGTTTCATCTGATATTAGCGATGAAGTAGATTTCCATCGTCTGACTGCTTGGACTATTGAGTTGGTGTCAGGCAATGACTCACAATATTTCTCAGTGATGCTGGGGAAGCACAGACAAATCTCTGTGCTGACTCCTTCAGTCATCATACAGATCCTCACTGTTTAGTACATTTGAATACTCTGTGGAGACGCTGCAACGTGTGCAAGTTGTCATTAAGTAGGGAGGGACAAGTGGATTTGTGTGTGTGCTCTAAATGTCCCGCATTCAATTATACTGCAGGACTATCATATCACAATACACATCATTGTAGGTCAGTGGGTTAAAAGGCAGTTAAGTAGCAATAGCCTGCTGAAAATCACAGGGGTTACTTTGTTTGTCGTCATGAGGCAGTGAGGGTAAGCTCAGTATCATTCATGAATGTGAGAAACCAAGAAGAAACAAAGGGATATTCGAATTTGTCATCTTATTAACGTGTACGTATGTACAATTATTTTGTTGTGTATATGAACTTTTTGACTTACTTTTTAACATCGTGCTATGGGCAGTCTATGAAAATTAAGGAAATTAGCCTGTTTTTCAATTAATATAATTGGACATAGTGAGTGTTTTGGTAGCAACTGTACAGTACTGAACATAGTAACTTGTGTTCTGTACTGTTGAAGAATATTGGCCAGAATTATTTTTTTCACCAATTTGCACTATATCATAGTTTCAATAGAAAAACTCCACTAATTTAATGTCTGTGAGCAAAAGAAACAAACACTGGTATTCTGCTCGTTTTATCTACTTTCCTATCAAACATAGGAGAAAACTTCAAAAAGTGCAATTTGGATAAACATCCAAGAATCACATCACCATGTTAGTCAAAAACTACCTTATTGAAAAACACCTCAGTCCAAGTAAAAATACTAAATTCAGTGCTTATCAAGAGCATGCTGAAAAAATAGGTGGCGATTTGGAAAATGAGAAACCGCGAAACAATAACAGCGCAAACAAAGGTATTTTTCTTTTTAAATATACATTTTCATTTACTTAAACATTTAAGTGTTGACAAAATGGCAAACTACATTAAAATGAAGCTACCGAAATACCCGTGTACGGATGGACAGAGCCTCATAATGAGGCTCTAAACATCTGTCCAACATTTTCGGGGTGTGATAATCATGGTGACAGTGTAGGATAAAGTGAATAAATCTCAAGTCACGAAGGCGTAGACTGGTCTGCAACCATCTAACAGCCACGGATCCTGAGGGCAAAATGAGTATCCCCAACTACTTGTGGGTTGTTGGTGGAGGTTGATGGCAGCTGCTGGGACAAAAATTGATCAAGTCCCAGTCACAGAGGCTTACAGACCAATCAACCCTGACAACTACCTGTCGCTAGGCAAAAAAATGTGTATTCCCCAGTCAGTTGGCAAAAACCACCCTGTGGTTGCTTTGGTCACTAGCATATTCCTGCAGTAATTTAACTGGAACTGACAGACTTGTCTGCAAAAAGATTTGCCTTGCAAGTAAAAAGTTGCATCATTTGAAAAGTTGTACTTATTAAATAGGCAATTAGTATTTGCAGAGAAATGTGAAAAACTACAGGCATCTGTGTCAATTCGCTAGCAACCAAAGCAATCGCTAGGAAGATTTAGTGAAGCACCTTCTTTGCAGCTGATTTCATTTCATCCACCACTTGCCAGCAGCATCCAGAAACCAGTCGGGAAATACACACTTTTCCTTCCAACCAGCTCTTGTATGATGTCTAATGCACCGCACAACTCTTGAGCAATGTGCACACATGACTACACATACTTTGTTGTAAAGTGCAAACTTTCTGAAAACGAGCACAAACTGGAGCCAGTGAACTGATTTAATTACAAAGAGGAAACCACAGTGACAAAACAAGGACAGCTACGTACAGGAAGCAACTCTGATTCATCACCACAGCTGCAACATGTCCAACAGAGTTACGACCAGGCGGCAGTGCAAAACTGCAGCTTCTTATTTATTAACTTTTATTTTTACCTTCCTGGTCACATCTGTAACAAGGCAAACATCAGCATGTTCTGGAGTGAAAACATGAATATCTGTCAGAGGTCGTCTTGCCTTCTTTTTTTGTAAGATCTATGACAGTTATAACTTAAACATGACTGACAGCGCATGCCAGAGGGGAAGGGGAGAAAAATACAAACAGGAAAAACAAACCTTACACAAATATATAAAAATATGCCATTAGATTCATATCAACACTTGAGGACCATGGGTGCACTATTTACAGAAAAAAGGCAGTATGTACCAATATTTACAACAATAAAGACTCGGTTCACAAATGGGCATGAGGAGGTTTACATACATGTTGCTGATAGTTACAGTGATGGCGGGATTTTGATTATTTTTACTTCATATTTAAGACGTTAAGAAAGGTTGTGTGTGAAGGAGTTCAGTTTCATTTTCACTGGGTTAAAATGTTCCTGCTGAAAATGTGATTATTCAATCATTTATACATGTGTGACTACTGAGGCAGTGTAAAAGTATACTGTTAAGGCGGAAGAAAACCTAAGTTTATGAAAAAGCTGTATTCAAACTTGCTGACCATGACCAAACTCTTTTCTTCAGAGGCTTGTTTCTGTCACACAAAACTAAAAGCCAGGTAGATCTCATTTAAAATTTTAAGCTATTATATCAAAGTTCAGGTTATCTCAAACCTTCGAAATTACGCATCTCAAAATTTTGACTTACAGACTCCATATCTCGAAATTTAAACTTTTGAGTAACTGTTTGTTTGTCTGTTTTTGTTTTTCTCAGTGGCAGAAACAGGCTTCCGTACTTTAAAGCTTAGGAAAATAAGTAATTACGTTAGACCCCACACCATGAAAATATAGCACAGACAGCGCACAGATGTTTTTTCACTGTTGACCAATATGGCTACTAACTCCTTTTCTGCAGGGATTTTTGACGCTCTCAAGCCAGCAAAAATACACAAAATTTTTATCTCGGGCAGTTCTTCACACAGACACACTGACATTAATCAGTTCTGTTGAACATTAAAAAAATAATAATAAATGTCTGCTACCTCAAAGTTAGCGGAAACTGA